TTCATAGATACTTCCATGAGTATGAGCCGTTGCAAAGGCATACCGGCTATCAGTATAAATGTTAGCTTTCTTTCCCTTGGACAGCTCTAGGGCCTTGGTTAGTGCTATTAACTCAGCCTTCTGTGCAGACGTGCCAGGAGGTAGTGATTGTGCCTAAATGGTGTTGTGGCCATCTACTACCGCCGCTCCCGCCCTCCGGGTACCTGAGTCAAGTAACTGCTGCCGTCTGTGTACCAGGTGTGATCCGGTCTGGGAGTTCTTGGTCTTTAAGGTCTTCCCGTGTTCCATGGGTCTCAGCCAGTACTTGCCGACAATCGTGTGGGCTTGGTTGGTCTTCTGGTACCGGCAGCAGCGTAGCAGGGTTTAGGGTGACCGGAGGGCCAAACTGGACGCGGTCCGTGTCCAGTAGGAGGGCCTGGTAGTGGGTTAGGCATGCGTTGGTTATCCACCGGTCCGGGGGCTGCCGCACTATGGCCTCTAGAGCATGTGGGGTAATAACAGTCAGTGGCTGCCCAAGGGTTAACTTAGCAGAGTCCTTGACCAGCATAGCGGTGGCTGCCATGATACGAAGACACGGGGGCCAGCCGGCCGCCACAGGGTCCAGCTTTTTAGACAGGTATGCTACCGGTCTTTTCCAAGGCCTTAATTTTTGGGTCAAGACCCCTTTGGCAATCCCTTGCCTCTCGTCCAGGAAGAGGGTAAAGGGCTTTGAGGTGTCCGGTAACCTAAGGGCTGGGGCAGACAAGAGTGCTTGTTTTAGTGCCTCAAAAGCCAATTGATGCTCTGTCTGCCAGGTGAAAGGGGTGCTCTCCTTGGTGAGTGCATAAAGGGGGGCGGCCAGTTCAGCAAAACCGGGTATCCACAAGCGACAGAACCTAGCAGTTCCCAAGAATTCACGTACCTCCCTGGGATTTCGTGGTGGTGGAAGGTGAGCCACTGTCTTTATGCGCCCAGGGGTGAGCCACCTTTTCCCTTCACTCAGGATATACCCCAGATATGTTACCTTGGTCTGACAGAGCTGTGCCTTCTTGGCAGATGCCCGGTATCCTTTTTCACCTAGTGCCTGGAGTAGATGCCTGGTACCTTGTATACAGATTTCCTTTGTAGGAGCAGCCAAGAGGAGGTCATCCACATACTGGAGTAGAGTCACTTCTGGATTTTGGGTCCGGAAGTCGGTCAGGTCTCGATGAAGAGCCTCATCGAAGAGAGTGGGAGAGTTCTTGAATCCTTGGGGAAGCCGGGTCCAGGTCAATTGGCCCGAAATTCCTTTCTCAGGATCTTTCCACTCAAAGGAAAAGAGTTCTTGGCTTTGGGGGGCCAGAGGTAAACAGAAGAAAGCATCTTTTAAATCTAATACTGTATACCAGTTATAGCCTGGTTTTAAGGTGCTGAGTAAGTTGTAAGGATTGGGGACCGTGGGATGGATGTCCATGGTTCTTTTGTTAATTTCTCTCAAGTCTTGGACAGGCCTGTAATCCTGAGTACCAGGCTTTTTTACTGGCAGAAGAGGAGTGTTCCAGGGTGAGCGACAAGGTCGCAACACTCCGAGTTCTAGAAATTTGTTAATGTGCTGCCGAATTCCTATATGAGCCTCTCGGCTCATGGGATATTGCTTGATAGACACGGGCACCGCCGTGGGCTTTAAATCAATTATGATTGGGGCTTGATACTTAGCTAGCCCGAGTCCTCCCGTTTCCGCCCAAGCTTGGGGAAAGTCTTGCAACCAAACATCGGGGAGGCTAGTGATGACCGGAGCGTCGAAAAGCCGATGCTTATCTTGCAGAGACACAGTTAAAATTTGGATGGGCTGACCGTCCCGATCTAATACTTGGGCCCCAGTCTCGGAGAAGTGGATTTGGGCTCCGAGCTTGGTCAGAAGATCTCGCCCTAGGAGGGGGTAGGGGTATTCAGGTACCACCAAGAAGGAATGTGTCACCATTCCTTGTCCAAGATTAACTGTCCGGTGGTTAGTCCACTTGTGCAATTTTCCCCCTGTTGCCCCCTGGACCTAGGATGTGCGGGAAAACAGGGGCCCGTCTGCCTTTGTCAAAACTGAATGTTGGGCCCCTGTGTCCACCAAGAAGGTGGTGGGATGCCCCCCTACAGAGAGAGTTAGCCGGGGCTCGGGGGGGGGGGCTCCAGAGCCTTGACACCCCTATTCGCTATCTTCACCTAGGGTGAGGACAGCGGCAGGTTTCTTTTGGTCTTTAGGACGCTTGGGGCAATCTTTGATCCAATGTCCCCGTTCTTTGCAGTAGGCACACTGGTCTTTTTCCACTTTTGGCCGCCTCCGCTTCTCTCCCTCTCTCCCTGGTCCTTTCTCTCTCACAACTGCCGCCAGGATTTTTGTTAAATGCTTATCCCTCACTCAGTCCCTACGATCCTCTCGCTCCATCTGTTCCTTCGCTAACCTGGCTTCCTTTTTCTCAGGGGTTTCTCTCTTATTATACACTTTTTCTGCCTCCCTAACCAATTCCTGTAATCCATAGGTTTGGATTCCATCTAGCCTTTGGAGTTTTCCTTTGATATCTAATGCAGCTTGGTCTATGAATGCCATAGCTATGGTAGCCTTATGTTCTAGGGCCTCTGGATCAAATGGGGTATACATTCGGAACCTTTCCAGAAGCCTTTCCATGAAGGCTGCCGGGCTTTCGTCCCTTTCCTGAGTTATGGTCCTTACCTTGGCCAAATTTGTGGGGCGCTTTCCTGCCCCTTTGAGACCCGCCAACAGAGCCTGGCGATAGATTCGGAGACTCTCCCTACCTGGTGCCGTTTCATAGTCCTAGTCTGGGCGGGTGAGGGGAAATCTCTCGTCTATTTCATTGGGAAGTTGGGTTGGGAGGCCTCCTGGTCCTGGCACATTTTTCCGGGCCTCCAGGAGGACTCGCTGCCTTTCTTCAGTGGTTAGGAGGACCTGCAAGAGTTGCTGGCAATCATCCTAAGTGGGCTGGTGAGTGAGGAGAATGGATTCTATCAATGAGGTTAGGGCCTGGGGGTCTTGGGAAAAGGAAGGGTTATGGGTTTTCCAGTTGTAGAGGTCAGAGGCAGAGAAGGGCCAGTACTGGACTGTGCAATTGACAGTACGGAGGGGAAAAAGGGAGGATTGCCAAGTGGAAGGGCCATCTGGGTCCTCAGTCCGCCGCAAGCAGAGACGTGGAGGTGTTGGCGGCGGCGTCCGAGGGGTGAGCTTGGGCGGGGCTGGAGAAGGAGACGGGGTGGAGGGAGGGGCCGAGGGAGAAGTTGGAGAAAGGGTAGGGGCGAGGGAGAAGTTGGAGAAAGGGTAGGGGCCGAGGCGGTAGAGGAAAGAGCTGGGGACAAGACAGGGGGCAAGGGTGAAGCATAAGGTGGAGGTCCCAGAAGGGGGTTCTGAGGTGGAGGAGGCAGGGGGTCAAGAAGGAGGAGATCCCTCTGGGGTTCATCTGGGAGGACTGGCTTAGGCGGGTCCGGATTCCGATTCTTTGGGGCTTCTAAGGCAAGGAGGGTAGATTGGGATGGGGAAGGGGAATGGAGGAAGGGTTTCACCCAAGAGGGAGGATTTCGGACCAGATCCTCCCAAATAATTATGTAGGCCACCTGGTCCTGGTGTCCGAGTGGCCCAGGATCCATCACTTTTGCTTTAACCTGCAAGATAATTGAGAGGTTAAATGTTCCGTCCCGGGGCCACTCCCCATGGAGGGTTGGCCATTCAGACGAGCAGAATGTTTTCCATCGTCCTTTACGGACTTCTACAGAGAGGTGGTGGGCTCGAGCCCGGACGTCCGGGAAGTGAGTCAGGGTTAGAGACAAAGGAGTCGTCAACGTCTGTCCCATTTCGTCCACGTATAACAAGGACAAAACGAAAGTAACAAAAATAAAGAGCAGACAAGTAAGGAGAAGCCGCGTGGCCAGAGAGTGGCGCCACAAGATCACAAAATATTCAGACGGCAGGGGCGACCTGCCTACAGATTTGAGGAGGCTGACTGAGTCGTCAGCCTTCTCCCAGACTACCGCCAGGGCGTCCCCCGGGGCGTAAGTGGGAAGGTGCCGGACACGTCTGTCCCCCTTCCCCACTTAATTCAGAAGGAGTACTCCCCAGAGTTCAGAGTTAGCCGGCAAGACAGACAGAACAAAACGAAAGTACCTGGTGGGTCCGTTCAGTCAGCAGTCCGTGGCCCGGGCCAGATGGGTCTCCGCCGGATGGGTCGGGGGTCCTCGGACGACCCCACTTCCCGGCCAATGCACCAAATGTTGGAACCGAACTGTCGATTCCCTCCTGGGCAGGGGTCGCCGCGAAGGATCACCGACACGAGATTCACAGCAGAGAGTTATTTATTACTAGCGCGCTAGGGTCCTAAGCTCTAAGTTGGCCCTGGGACCCCGACTGCTTGTTACAGGCTGTTTATATAGGCAAACATAAGTTCAAACACAGCTTATGGTGCGAAATTCAAACAAAGCTTAAGGCGCAAAATGATTGGGTCTCGCTATGGCCTGAGCAAGGTGTCTTATGCTAATTGGTTAGAGCAGGACCTTATGAGGTTTTTTCCTGGAGTTGTTGATTCCGGGAACTTCGAGGCAGGGTGGGACCCCCGGAATTGGCAGGGTGGGACCCCATGAGGTTGTTTCCTGGAATTGGCAGGGTGGGACCCTATCAGGGTGGGTCCCTATCGAGGCAGGGTGGGACCCTATCCAGAGCCACCTGGTGTTAATTTTTTCTATATGAGGCCTAGTTTCTAAGTTTTATGAGGCCTAGTTTCAGGAGCAGCCAGTTAGCTGAACTAGTAGCCGTTCCTCGGAGCTATTCAGGAGGAGGCCAGAGGGATTTGTCACTTGTATACCAACTTTTGGTCAGTAGCAAATGGTCATACTAGCTGGATGCCCCAATGGTAATGAAATGAATGGTTAATTAGGAATAAAGAAGTTTGGAGAAAACAATACTGGGAAGACAGCTGAATCCTGGCACACACTATTATTACAGCTGTTTTCCATGTTGATGCAAATGTGTCTCTGCTTTCTCTTGACAGGCTATTTAAACAGCAGGAAGATCAACAGGCCAACATTTCCACCATAACTGCAAACTTGAATGTGGATTAATGGATTACAACTTGTTCAAGCCTTGGAATGAGAGGCATCATAATGTATGGTGGTATAACTGATAGCAATTACAGGCAAGATAGAAAGGTCATTTTATATAATACCACTCCAGATTCTTTTGCTATAAAACCACAGATGCAGGTTGTTCGATTGTTAGTGGCACCTTGTCAACAGTTAACCCCTGAGGAAATCTCCGCCCCAACAGAGGCTACATACAGAACTGGGAGATGAGATCCACTGGTACAGGTAGCTTAAATCCTGGAGCCAAAATATGGGTACAGCGTTCATTAGATCCCATTCCTAAGGCTGGTGACCTTGTAGCTATGGGGGTGGAAAATAAAGGCATAGTACCATTTCCTAAAGATGAAAAACAATATTGTGTTCTCCTCTGCTTTTGTCATTACAGGGAGTAACCTATCTACTAATTATCAGCACCTGGGTCTTTGTATCTGAGGCCAAGAAAAAATTCATCAGCTGGGTAGCCACCGCTGCAACAGAAGCCAAATGCTGTCAATGTTGGCTATATGTTGAGTTGCCGGAGACCACTTGGAATGGGCTACCTTGGAGAATCATCCCTGACAACATTTCTGCAAGGCTATGTCGTTACCAGTGGGGCCACAACAACAACACTTGCAATCCAACCTGGACTTCCTTTGACCACACTAAGCAATCCATGTTTGCCAAGTCAGAAAAAGATGAACTCTACCCTCATGTTGCATCAAAAGCCTTGGTATTCTGCCCAATATGCCTGGAATGGAATATATTGAGAACCTACTGTGCTGGTGGCCAGATTTGATATAGCATCCCCTTTGTCTGGAGGCCTTAAATGGAGTTTTTCCAGACAATTGTCAACACACACTCCAAATCGACAACATCGCACCCAATGAAACACAATCTCTTTCTTACTTTAATAACACATTAGTACACTATGATTACAGTAGCTCCATTGCTGTCCCCTGAGGGGGCTCTTGGTATGCAGATCCTATGGGTGATGGTACCTGTCCCTGCATTGAATGGGGGGATGCACTTGGGGGTGGCCATTAATTCCATTCACCATCGGGGATAATATTCCCCTCCCCAGTAATCTAGATGCTTACAAACATCACTAGTTATGAATGTGCTGGCCTCCCTGGTGGTGGTATTTTATAACAGTATTTTCCCTTGCTGCTGGTACAATCCTGCTTCAGCAACAAATTAAAACATTAACCTTACATACAGAAAAATCTCTTAATAATAGTAGCATTGAACTTACGTTTTTATCAGATGAATTTGCTCAGCTGCGTACTTTTGTGTTGCAAAATCAAATGGCATTAGAGATGCTTACCGCAGCCCAAGGAGGGGTTTGCGCCTTGCTGCATACTAAATGTGGTGTGTATATTCCTGGTAATTCTCACAATGTTACACTCCTTGCAAAGCCATGTCAAATTTGGTTTTTATTCATTGCACTTTTAATTCTCCTGTGCTTACCCTGTATCTGTAATCTCTTTCAACTTTGCCTTCCCCATATATCTGTAAGAGTATTTTCCTACAGTTGAGTATCCAAATGTGGTCAAATGTGGAGGAAAAGTTACATGTTAAATTTGAAATCAGTTGAACATGGACACAAACAATGGCCACCAAGTCCCAGCACAGGTTGTGTGAGCCCCTTGAGACAATCATTCAGCACTGTTTCAGAGAAACCTCTATTTCAATCTATTCCTATACATTAGTTATTAAAAAAAATAGACAACCACACAAAAACAGCTTGACCTTTTTGTGTTGCTTGAGCCCAGTCGCGAAGGGCCCTCATGACCGGGCCTCATGCCAAACAACTTGTTACAAAAAGAGCTAGGGTCCCAGACCGCGCCAAAGCTTCAGGAAACCTCTCCTCATCTGTGCACGGATGGGTGGCTGACTCTGGAGCCCAGGCTGTGGCTTCCTGGTGTAGTGGTGAAGCCTCCATAGTCTGATGAGTGTAATGTCTGACTCTGGAGCCCAGGCTGTTGCTCCCCCATCTGGTGATGAATCCTCCATAGTCTGGTGAATGTAAACATATTTATCTCTTTTCCCTTCTCCCCTTCCCATTGCAATTTGCTTATTATATCAATTTGCTTACTATATCTGCATTGCCATTTACGTGGAATAAAATTTGTTTACCCTTAAAGGTATTGTGTAGGTGTCTTTTCTTCTCCCCTCATGCATTTCCTGCACAGAACACAGAATATTTCTCAGAGGTTTTGTTTGTTCCTGTTTATTCTTTTTTCTTTAATCTTGTCTGCATGCTTTATTTCACCAAGGTGGTTTTTAAACTCTGATATCCTTTCTTCTGCTTTATCAGTTCAGCTATTGATACTTTTGTATGCTTCACGAAGTTCTCGTTCTGTGCTTTTCAGCTCCATCGGTCATTTATGTCCCTCTCTAAACTGGTTATTCTAGTTAGCAGTTCCTCTAACGTTTTATCAAGGTTCTTAGCTTCTTTGCATTGGGTTAGAACATGTTCCTTTAGCTCAGTAGTTTGTTATTTCCCATCTTCTGAAGCCTGCTTCTGTCAATTCATCCATCTCATCCTCTGCCCAGTTCTGTACTTTGCTGAAGAGACAGTTTGATCATTTGGAGGAGAAGAGGCACTTTGGCCTTTCAGCGTTTTTTTTGTTGATTCTTTCTCATCTTCGTGAGTTTGTCTAGTTTCAATATTTGAGGCTGCTGACCCTTGAATTGTTTTTTTTTGTTTTGTTTTGTTTTGTTTTGTTTTTTGAGACGGAGTCTCGCTCTGTCACCCAGGCTGGAGTGCAGTGGCTGGATCTCAGCTCACTGCAAGCTCCGCTTCCCGGGTTTACGCCATTCTCCTGCCTCAGCCTCCCGAGTAGCTGGGACTACAGGTGCCCGCCACCTCGCCCGGCTAGTTTTTTGTATTTTTAGTAGAGACGGGGTTTCACCATGTTAGCCAGGATGGTCTCGATCTCCTGACCTTGTGATCCGCCCATCTCAGCCTCCCAAAGTGCTGGGATTACAGGCTTGAGCCACCGCGCCCGGCCTGAATTGTTTTTTTTTAAACAGAGTCTTGCTCTGTCACCCAGGCTGGAGGGCAGTGGCATGATCCCGGCTTACTGCAACTTCCCCCTCCTAGGTTCAAGTGATTCTCATGTCTCAGACATGTCTCGTGTAGCTGGGACTACAGCCGTGCAACACCACACCTGGCTAATTTTTTTGTTTGCTTGTTTGTTTTGAGATGGAGTTCCACTATAGTTGCCCTGGCTGGAGTGCAGTGGTGCGATCTTGGCTCACTGCAACCTCTGCCTCCTGGATTCAAGCGGTTGTCCCGCCTCAGCCTCCCAAGTAGCTGGGATTATAGGCATGTCCCACCACACCTGGCAAATTTTGTATTTTTAGTAGAGACGGGGTTTCCCCATGATGATTAGGCTGGTCTTGAACTCCTGACCTCAGGTGATCTGCCTGCCTTGGCCTCCCAAAGTGCAGGGATTACAGGCGTGAGCCACCAAACCTGGCCTAATTTTTGTATTTTTTAGTACAAATGGGGTTTTTCCATGTTGGTCAGACTGGTCTCCTGACATCGTGATCCACCTACCTTGGCCTCCCAACATATTAGGATTACAGGTGGGAGCCACTAGGCCTGGACTTGGATGGGGTTTTTGTGGGTACTTTTTTTTGTTTGTTTTTGATGCTTTTGCTGTTGCTTACTGTTTGTTTTTCTTTCAATGGTCGGATCTCCATTCTATAGGGCTGCTGCAGTTTGCTAGGGATTCACTTCAGGCCCCATTTATCTGGTTCACTCCCATACCTGGAGATACCACTCAAGGAGGTTGGAGAACAGCAAAGAAGAGGGTCTGCTCCTTCCTCTGGGATCCCTGACCTCAAGAGGCAGCAATCTGATGCCAGTAGGATCGCTCCTGTTTCTCTGAAACAGCGCTGGATGAATGTCTCAAGGGGCTCACACAACCTGTTCCAGGACTTGGCTACCATAGTTTGTGTTTACATTCCATTAGTTCAAATTTAATTTTTAACTTTGCCTCCACACCAGACTATGGAGGATTCAGCAACAGACTGGGAAGCAACAGGCCTGCCTTCAGAGTCGGAAACTGTACTCCTCAGACTATGGAGGATTCACCACCCAACCGGGAAGCAACACCTTGGGTTCCAGAGTTGGCCACCCATCCGTGCACAGACGTGGAGATGTCTTATGAAGCTTCAGTGCTGTCTGGGACCCTAACTCTTTTTGTAATGAGTTGTTTGGCATGAGGCCTAGTCATGGGGTCCCTTCGTGACTGGACTCAAGGAACACAAAATGGTCAACTTGTTTTTTTGCAATTGTCTATTGTTTTTCAATAACTAATATGTATGAATAGATTGAAATGGAGATTTCTCCATATCAGCACTGGATAAATGCCTCAAGGGGCTCACATAACCTGTTCCAAGACTTGGTGACCATTGTTTGTGTCCGCGTTCAATTGAGTTCAAATTTAATATGTAACTTTTCCTCCACAAATTACCCTGGCTTGATGAATCGGCTCTGTCTAGGCAAAGGGCAAGGTGAACCCCTTGGGCCGTTACACACCCTCCGCCTGCTGGGTTCAAGTGATTCTCCTGCCTCAGCATCTAGAGTAGCTGGGACTACAGGTGGGCACCAGCACGCCCGGCTAATTTTTTGTATTTTTAGTAGAGATGGGGTTTCACCGTGCTGGCCAGGCTGGTCTTTAACTCCCGACCTCAAGTAGTCTGCCCACTTTGGCCTCCCAAAGTGCTGGGATTACAGGCGTAAGCCAACACACCTGTCCCTAAATGATTTCTTTCTATCTCCTATAACAGTTTGAAATTACTTAAGGGTTGTTTGAAAAACTAAAAATAATGTAAATACAAATAAAATACAAAAAGTTAAAAAAATACAAGAGATTACAAAATATATATGTAAATCTGCAGTGGTAAAAAATGACAATTTGAGTTTATTTATACGGTTTTATTAAAATTAGCTTTAGTATAGATAATACACTATTACCAAAGTAAAAGTTGATTTTCTCTTGAACAAAAATTTTATGTATTGTAAAATACAATAAAATTTCTTTTAAAAGGTTTAGCCTGTTAACTTCCTTGTTCTTTGTTCTCAGATTCAAATTTCTTGTTCTCCATGCTTCCTTGCCCCTAGTTACTGTAACAATCTTTCTTCCCATCAGTTCTAATCAATAACTCACATTTGTTTTCTTGGTTACTCACTCTGCACCCATTCCACCTTTTAAAACCGCAGGCCCCACTAATGTGACTCATACATCTCCCTTCCCTTCATTTGTAAAAATATTCACAAATAGCCAATCGGGTCAGTTTAGATTGTGTGGTCTGACCCCAGCCCATGGGGGAGTGACACAGAGGTAGAGACTTTGTGCTAAAAATAAAAAACTTGGCTGGGCACGGTGGCTCATGCCTGTAATCCCACCACTTTGGGAGGCCAAGGTGGGCAGATCATGAGGTGAGGAGTTCGAAACCAGCCTGAACAACATGGTGAAACCCCATCTCTACTAAAAATACAAAAATTAGTTGGTCATGGTGGCATGAACCTGTAATCTCAGCTACTCAGGAGGCTAAGGCAGGAGAATAGCTTGAACTCGGGAGGTGGAGGTTGCAGTGAGCTGAGATTGTGCCACTGCACTCCAGCCTGGGCAACACAGAGAGACTTCGTCTCAAAATAAATAAATAAATAAAAGACCTTTTCTCTCCTTTGTTCTGGGTGCTCTTGCGATCGTGATTGACACAAACAATACGCTCTTGCCTTACTGAATAATCTTTCGCCTGAGTGCTTGTTTCACTTTGTCACATCAAACATTTTACTTCCAACAATTCTAGGGGCTCATCTGGGATTCCCATTCTTCTCCAGAGAAGGGTCTTCCATCAACTCCTGGGGGAGACACATCCCACTGCCTTGTTGTGGTGGCCCCAGAGGCTAGAGATCGAGACCCATTCATTGTGATGTATAAATCTGGACTCTCAGCAACACAGAAAGAAAAAGGCTCACAACACCCTGGAGACCAGATAACTCTGTGCACGAGTCAAGGTAAAAAATTTCACATGGGTGACAAAGTATCTCCTTGGTGGTTGGGATTCTGGAGGTTGAGAGCCTGCGTAAATGATCACAAGCACTACTGCTTGCGGTGCTGCTTGTTGGAATGATACTGAGCACTACTGCTGTGCAGAGTGAGTGGGTCCTATCTATAGTTCCATGGTCACCTCATACTGCTTGTGGCAGATCCTGCCATGGGACTTATACTGGCATGCCAATGCTAAGAGAGACCTAAATTCCCATGAGAAAAGCAGCCAGAGTGGACGAAGTGAAAGAAAGATGCAAGGAGCCTCCAGCAGGCGGGACTAAAATACAGGCAAGAAATCTCTAGTATAAGTGATTAAGCTTTAGCAAGCGTCCAGGGAAAGAATAGGCAAGAAATCTCTATTATGAGGGATTGAGCCTTAACAAGCCTCCAGGGAAAGAACAGGCAAGAAATCTTTAGTATGAGAGATTGACCCTAACCAGGACCCAATATGGGAAATACCCCAAACAAAACAGGGGGTAGAAAAGATAAATATAATAACAATAATAATCCCTTTGATATCCCCCAGGTCTCTTAAAATATTGGAAAAATAATGAAAGGACTAAACATAAGACAAAACAACAAATTATAATATATTGCTGGTTGGGTGCAGTGACTCACACCTGTAATCCCAGCACTTTTCGAGGCTGAGGTAGTCAGATAGCCTGAGCTCAGGAGTTTGCGACCAGCCTGGATAACACAGTGAAACCCAGTCTCTACTAAAATACAATAAAAATTAGCCAGGCATGGCGGCGTGCGCCTGTAGTCCCAGCTACTTGGGAGACTGAGGCAGGAGAATTGCTTGAACTCAGGAGGCAGAGCTTGCAGTGAGCTGAGATAGTACCACCACACGCCAGCCTGGGCAACAGAGCAAGACTTCATCTCAAACAAACAAACAAACAAACAAAAATTGCATTTTATTTGGACTCAAGAACCCATCCTCAAACCCTCAATCTTCTGGCCAAAGTTTGGGTCAAATGAAGATGTGATGTGTCAGCTTCTAATTCAATAGGCATGATCTTGGCTCACCACAATCTCCACCTCACAGGTGCAAGTGATTCCCCTGCCTCAGCCT